CTTGAGAGATGAGGGAAGAAGGAAGTCGGCAGGTAGAGGCTTCCCACAGTTCCAATGGTGGATAAGGCCACTCACCAGCCCCACAGAAGCTGTGGGACCAAGCAGTGAAGATCTAGGATAGGGCTAGGGAGATGGCTCAGTGCTGGCCATGCATGCATAAGGACCTCAGTTTGGATCCTCAGCTCCTATGTAAAAAGTCAGGCACAATGGCACATATCTGTAACACCATCACTGGGAGGGGAGGATGGAGACAGGCAAGTTCATGAAGCTCGGTAGGCCAGCCAGTCTAGCCAAATTGATGAGCTCCAGGTTCAAGGAGAGACCTTGGCTCAAAGTACAAGGTGGAGCACTATTGAGAAGGATGCCTGACATTGACCTCCAGCCTTCACATACATTTGTGCACACCCACATGAACATGTACACACACACACACACACACACACACACACACAGATTCCATGAGAAAGTAAGCTTTTCCAGGAACTCCTGAGCTCCCCTGAGGCTGTTCTCATGTGCCTGGTTGCTTTAACATCTCACCCCACTCTGCTATGACAATACCATCATCCACATTTCACAGATGAGGAAATTGGTTATCCATGAGGTTGACTGAATTGACCATGTCACAGAGCTCATAATGGGCTGGGCCAAAATTTGATGGTGATTGGGTCTGATTTATACAATCACAGACCTTTAAATGAAAATGGAATGCAGAGACTTTGAAGCTCCTAATATAAAACAGCAGGATCCAAGTTACCAAATCTAGAAGATTCTTTCCTGCTGAGAAGTATGCTTGGGACATTTGCCTGACTGGAAAAAATATATAGGTCTTTAATCATTTTCCACATGAAGGGCTATGGTGTGGAGGATGGTCATGTGACCCAAGGAAAGTCTTCCCTGGGAATTTTGCAGTTGCTGAATGGCAAAATACCTCACAATCTTCCCTGGGGTCACTGAGCTCATATGAAATTCTAGAGAATCTGGTATTCATCTTATGACCACAGTGGAGTGACAAAGTAAGAGAGAAGAGCGTATAGGAAGAGCAGCGAGTTGGGGGATGGGGAGGGCAGGTAAGATTGTGTTGGAAAGATGGCATTCAAATTCCCAGACTCTTCTACACTAAGCTGGTGAAGTTTATTAAGGTGCAAGAGCTCATCAGTGACTTTCCTGCTTAAGTCACTTGGAGTTTCTCTCACTTTGTGTCAGTATTTGATGTATGCATGTGTGTGCATGTGTGTGGTGTATGGTGTGGTGTATGGTGTGGTGTATGGTGTGGTGTATGGTGTGGTGTATGGTGTGGTGTATGGTGTGGTGTATGGTGTGGTGTGTAGGTATTTAATGTCTTCATCACTTTCTAACTTGTTTTTCTTTTACATTTTCATCTGTGATATGTGTGGTATGCATGTGTAGGTACACATGGTTGCATGTCCGGGGGCACATCTCTCTCTTCCTGTATGTATGTGTGTGCATAGTCTGAGGTTGAGGTCTGGAATAAACCTCAGTCAGTCTTCTGCCTTCTTCACTGGTGTGTTCTCTCAGTCAAACCCAGAGCTAGTTTACATAGCCACAGCCTTCTAGCCAGATTGCTCTGGGGATCTCCTGTCTCCGATATCTGAGGCTGGAATTACTAGCAGGCCACCACAACCACCAGCTTTTTACATGGGTTCTGGGGATCTGAAATCTTGTTCTTTTGTTGGCACAGCTCTTTAACCACTGGGCCTCTCCCTAGCCCTCTGCCTTATTTTGTGAGACAAAGTCTCTCACTGAACCTGGAAGCCATTGATTCAGCTTATCTAACTGGTTGGCAAGTGCCAGGGACCTTCTGTTTCTACCTCCTCAACAGGGTCACAGATACATGCCACCACATCTGGCTTTTGTTGCGTGGGTGGGTGCTGAGACTCCAAGCTCAGGACCTCATGCTTGTACAGCAAGCACTTTACTCACTGAGGTTTCGGTCACTCAGCCACCATGGTCAGCTTGATCTTGGACATACTTACCTCGTCAGCCTGACTCACACTGATTCTTCGTTATCTTCTGATTATGTATAGTCTTTCCTACCATCCTGGAGCCTTAAGGCAGAGCTGTCAAACTCTGACAAGAAAAATCATAAAGCCCAGCATGACTTAGCAACTTGGCAGAGACCCCATATTATGGAGAAGTAGTGCCCCACCCCCATAAGCTGGTCCCTGGGTGATGGGCTTTTTGAGAAGTGACTGGATCCTGAGGGCACTAGCCTCACCCATAAGTTCACAGCTGAACAGCTATTAGGAGGGGTTCTTGTTGGAGGAAGTAGGTCACAGGGCTGTGCCTTTGAAGTGAATATCTTATACCCAGTCTCCTTCCCCATCTCCCTCTCTGTCCATCTCCCCCTCCTCCCTCTCTGCTGTTTGTCCACCATGACATGGGTGGCTTTACTCGACACACTCCCACCACCATGATGCTCTGCCCCACCTCAGTCCTGAAAGCAATGGAACCTAGTGACTATGAATGGAATCTCTGAGACCAGAAGCCAAAGGAAACCTCAGGCTTTTCATCACTGTGAAAAACACCCGCGAGAACATTGTAATGGGAGGAAAGATCTGTCAGCACAAGGGCAGCAGGGAGAGGCAGAAGTCGCAAACTAAGTCAACCCTGGCCACAGAGGTCATAAAAGGATGATCCGGCAAAGCCATAGGATAGCTATCCGGTAGCACTGAGAGTCCAGGGCCCACCCGGGCTTTGGCGCAGACCCTCTGAGCTTAGCCTCCCCAGTGGTGACCCGATGCTTCCTTCACTTGCTGTTCAACCATTAAGTGTCTCTTTGAAACCACTTCATTCCAGCTAGAATGTTCTTGTTGAGTTCACAGGTCAACAGCAGGCATGAGCCACAGGATGTCAACCTTCACATATCTAAAGCTTCCCTTTTATCCCCAAATAAAATGTCCTCCACAGGCTCATGTGTTTGAACAGTTGATCCCCAGCTAATGTGCTGTTTGGGGAGGTTCTGGAACTTTTAGGTAGATGGAGCCTAAGTGGAGGAAGTAGATGACAAGGATGGGCCTTAGGGGTTATAGCCTGACTTGGTTCCAGCCCAATATCTGTGCTTCATGACTGACAAAGTGATGAACCAGTCACTGCATTCTGGCCATGATGAACTGTATCCCCTCATGACTGTGAACCAGAATAGATCTCTCTTCCCTTAAGTGCTTCATAATGGGTATTTGGCCAGATGAGAAAGTAAAAAGTTCGACAGCCCAATTATATACAATATTTAACACAGGAAAAATTAGAAGAAAGTCCTTTTTTAAAAATACACGTATTTCAACCTGTAAATGCTCAGGTACCACAGAGCACCTGAATCAAACCAGTTAACCTTGTACTATTAGTTACTTTTCTGTTACTATGATAAAACATCACGACCAGAAGCAATTTAAGGAACAAAGTTTATTTTGGCTTACAATTCAAAAGAGTTCCCTAATGGCAGGAGAGGCATAGCGGTACGCTGCTGGAGCAAAAAACTGGGAGATCACGTCTCAACCACACACAGGAAGGGGAGGGCAAACTGGAAGAGAAGTGAGGTTAAAATCCCTCAAAGCCCACCCCCAGGGATGCACGTTCTCCAGCAAGGCTCCACATCCTAAATGTTCCACAACCTCCCCCAAACAGTGCCACCAACTGGGGACCAAGTGTTCAAATACATGGGCTTATGGGAGACATCTCTTTTTCAAACCACAACAGACCCACATACAATGCACACATCTCAACTGTGGTAGGATGATCTGAAGTCATTTCAAACAAGATAGAGGGGAAACCTCAAGAAGTAAAGCTGAACACTACATAAAAATGAGCAGTCTGTGAAGTAATAACTGACAGGTCTTCTGTGTGGTGCTAACATCTGACTTCAATTGTCAGTGGGATATTTGCCAGTCATACAAGGTAAATAGACTGGCTTTGTCCAGCAACCCAAGCTATGCTGGACAGCTATCTTGCCTGGCCTCCACCCACCAAATGCCAACAGGTTTCTTATCATGATAGCAACCCTCCCCCTCCGTGAATACAATGCTCCTGAGGAGCAGAAGCATCTCTTCTGGGGACCACAAAGGCGGGACATGGGAATATGGGAGCACAAGTTTAATCTGCCTTGTTAATGCAGAGCTGGGCCTCCCAGGCTGGAGCACAATGGAGCTGCAGTAGGAAGGGGAGGTGGGGTCCACCCTGGGACTTTCTTCTTTCCTGTGCCACCACAAGGTCCTACTCCCAGGGAGCAGCTGTTGACTGTGTCCCAGTATACCTCAACCTAAGGGTATGTTCCTCCACACCTAGCCTTGGCCTCCTGCACACACTAAGCCCATGGACTTGGAAGCAGGCATCCAGAGCAGGAGCCAAAGTCTGGGTCAAAAATACTAGGTTCAAGGGTCCTGTCTCTTCACTTCCCAGACCAGTTCCTACCAGGCTTTGCCATTCTAGTCCTGAGGGAGGTGGAGACACCCTCCTTCCCCAGCCTTCTAACCTTCCAGGTAAGGCCTCAGATCTTCTAGAGTACATCTGAACCATCCAGGGGGTAGCTAGGTCTGCATTTCCAACCCACAAAACAGGAAGCAGAGGTTTACACTTACACGCTATACCTAAATGCACTGTTTGGAAGTCGACCTGTGAGTCTCTTTCAGCATTCCTGTAATGATCCATATGACCTGAGGCTCACGGCAGAATCCAAACTAAGATAGCGAACAGCAAAGCCCATACTTGGCAGGGTATTAGCTCGGAGGGCAGAGGCAGAGGCAGAGCCCCCACCATTGAAGTGCATCTCTCCCTTACTCTACAGGAACACATGTAGAAGAATTCTTGCAGGCTAAACACAAGTCTCATGAGATGAGCTCCATCAAAAGCTGTGGCTTGACAGATAATTACTCAGAAGGACTTCTAGGTCCCCACAGGATTTCCAACATCACCAACCAGACTGAACTCAACACTGCCTGTCCCCCTTGACAAATGTGACCAGTGGACTCTGGGGACAGCTATGCTTGTCAAAGGATGGTGCAACCATAGCAGTATCGCTCAGGGTAGTCTGCCACATACACCTGGTGGTCGGTGCCATAGATGTAGTAGACCGAAGTCTTTCCTCGATACCAGTAATGAACTTCCGTGATGGGGATCAGCTCAATGGTCTGGCGCTGAGAAAATAAATGACCAGAAACATCTCAGCATTCCACCTGTCATCATCCTCTTGCTCAAGAATCAGCAGCAGTTCCTTATGGCCTGCGAGATAACGGTCAGAGCTGGATGCATAGGTCATCCCCAGTTTGCCCATCTAGATTTGTGTCCCACTAGGATCCTTTCTTAGTGTCATTGCTGTGGTAAATACCCTGACAAAAGGCAACTCAGAGGAGGATGGGTTTTAGCACAATTCCAGGTTACGGTCCATCACTGAGGGGAAGTCAGCATTGGAATCTGAGGCAGCTAGTCACGTCCACGGCCAAGGACAGAGAGAGAGGATGAACGCATGCATGCTTACTCATGCTCAGTCCCCTTTCTACACTTAAACAGCTCAGGACCCAAACTCAAGGATCGGTGTTGTTCACAGTACCTAGATCTTCCCATTTCAATTAAAACAGACCCCACGGACATGCCCACTGGCCAACTTGATCTAGACAATCCCTGAGACTCTCTAGAATCTCCCCAGTGATTCTAGACTGTGTCAAATTGACAATTAAAACTAACCATCACAGCTCCTTCCATGACCTAGATCCTGGGCAAGAACTGATTTATCTTCAGCAACTATTTGATGTTAGATGTGAGGCATAGACAGCCCAAGGGACTTCTAGGAAGCCACCAGCCAACCATGACATTCCCAGAAGCATTAGCTTCTCCATGAAGTACTGGAGGAACCTCCATGTATCATTGTGGAATATCAGGTTCAGAAGATCAAGCAGTTCAAGCCCCCTCTCCTTACACTTAGGAGTGCCCATGTCAACTTAGCTCTCCTCCCAGCATCCACCTCTTCCTAAACATCCTTATAATAGGAAGGAGACAGCTCTATCTCCCATAGAACAACCCTCATCTCTAGCCCTGTCTCTGAGAAGTTAGTCTACCACCTTCCCAAAACCCAGCCCTGCTGAGGAGAGAATCTGGGGCTCCAGTGGAGGCATCCTGTCACTGTTGGTCCGCTGACAATCACCAGAGTTGAAATCGAACTATGACTCCTAATGTGGAAGCTAAGCTTCCCTGAGGGCTTTCTGTGCTCTTCCCTGTGCCTTTTGCTCAAGCTGCTTCCCTCCCAACCCCACTCTCAGGTATCAGGATCCCAAATCCAGGAAAAGATGGCCTGACAGGCTCTGAGCCCAACCCTCTTGTTTGCTGGAAGATCTTCACATCAGAAACACCCTTTCCCACCTGGGACTGACCATTCAGAGGCCCTGGGGGAGGGAGGAATGGTGGAAGAGGAGCTGGAGCTGGAGCCAGACAGCTGCTTAGCCTTCTCTCCCCACTGCTTTGGGGCTCCACCACAGGACTTCACCCAGGGTCAGGGTTAGAAATGTCTACAAAGTTTCCTGTGGCATACTGGACTCTGTTGCTCTGGCCACAACTTTCTCATCATCAGAATGAGATCAAAACTGTCTCAGAGTTGAAATGATCAAATGAGATCAGAAGACTGAATGTTTTTCAGACACCCGAAACACTGACATGAATGATAAAAAAAAAACAAAAAAGTAGTAAGTCCCTCACTGTCGTGCAGAGGGTCCCAAATGAGGGCGAAAGGACACATGGAAGTGGCAGCCAATGTCACAGCTCAAATGGCCTGGGAATTGAGTCAGGACTGCTCTAGCTTCTGGGCTCTTCCAGGCTCTTCCACAGGTGAGAATATAGCAGCACCGTCCCTGCCTCCATCCACTACGGACTCAAACGGTTGGTCTGCGTGCATATGTGTGTTTGAACCCACAAACCTCCCAAGCTCTCAGCCCCTCAAGCAGTGATTCTCCTGTAATTATCTCTGTGTTTGAGGTTTGGCCGCACCCCATGGTGATAAGATTATAGATCTTCAGTTATAGCAAGCTGGGGCTACACACATTGTAATGACTGCTGTCTCCTGGTGGCTAGATTCCACTCCTCACCTTCTACAGCTGGAACAAAACATTGGCATAGATCTTCACTTTTTATCCAAAAGTCAATTAGAAAAGAGATTCTTAAACATGACCTCCAGACTATTGTTCTGGTCCCTTAAAAATAAACATGTGCACTGTCCCCCACTTTGCCTTTTCCAGTTCTAGGATTTGTTCACAGTGGCTTAAACTGCTGAAGATGAGACCATGTCATGGGAGGAAGCCTCCAGAGTCCTCATCTGCCACTTACATACCACGTCACCTGGGGCAGCAGGTGGGGAAAGGACTCACATGGGTCATTCTGTAAGTACAATGGCCCCCAGAGTATAGAAGCTGCCAAGGTCATGTCCTCCCTCCTCGGTATTCCTGAGCCTGCCTGACAACCCAGAGTAGATGCCTCAACGTGGGGGTCCTCATTCATGTAGCCCAAACCATGTAACCATCCTGGCAAGCATGAAGATACTTTAAAGAGACACGTGTGGCAGTGGACCATAGGAAATTGAAATTTCCCCAGGAATCTTACACTGCAGAACAAAAAAAAAAGGACTGGAACCCTGGTACCAGCCAGAGAGGGAACTTGTCTCCCAAGAAGAGCTGTCACACAGGTGACAGAGAGACTAGAGCCCAGACAATGATGGGTCAGTGATGGGCAGGACCATGCCTTGACCAGGGCTGCTTAGTGATGCATATTTCTTACCTTCTATTTAAGCCTGAACCTTTCAGCTCCCAAAGACAGACACAGAGGGGTTGTTGGACTTGTGGCCACATTGAATAAATCTCCTTTCTCTGCTTTTCCCTATTGTTTGTCTCTTTAATTTGTGTCCTGGGGATGGTGGCCAAGGATAGCTTCTTAGGGCTATAGGACCCAGGCTCAAAGAGAAACTTCTCTGGTAATTGCCGTACAATCCACTAGTGCAAAAGCCAGTTCCCATGCAGATCAGTGGTCTGTCCCCAGCCAGCCCTGCTTCCTGCCAGCCTGCTCTGCTACCTACAGTGCACCCACCCCAGCTTCCAGCAGCCCCTTCCCACTGTCCCACTGTCCACTTCTCTGCAGAGACAGGGAGGTAGGACCCACCATCCACACCCAGGGCAGACAGTGCCAGAAAGGCTCTAGCCCAGTCCCCTGGCTCCAGGTGGATGGTCACTGAGGTATGACAGAAGCTCAGAACTACCCTGGGATCAAACTGAGGCTGGCATGTTACCTGACCTGGCTTTCTTCTCACTTCACCCCCACTCCTTCAGGGACCCCTTCCTCAGTAAGTGACAGGCTGCTTCTACAGAGCCCAACCTGAGACCAAAACTAGCCTCATCATTTTATAGACACTGAGGTCCAAATTAAGGGAGAAAGCAGTCAAAGTCTCTGGAGAGTGCCAGAGCTGGGAAGCAGGTGCCAACTGGGTGTGTCCTGCACCATCTGGTCCAGTGATAAGGCCCCAAGTCCCACACCCCTTATCCTCAAATCCTGTTCTGACTTCCAGAATTGCTACTAGAAGAATCGCTGACCCTAGCAAATTGCCACCAGCCTCTGGGCCTCCTCCTTTTATGAGAACAGCCAGGAACTTGGAATGGCCCAGATTCTCAGCTTTGTAGAATTTTGCTATTGATATTGAAAAACTAGAAGACTTCCCTTAAATGTCTGAATGTTACAAAGTCTGGAAGCTCCAGAGCATGGGCAGACACAAAGCTGAGTAATGACTGCTCCTTCAGAGGGTCACCCACGTGACCACCTGGCCTTAGGAGACATTTGGAGCTTATAATGCCTTAATGCAATTCCTATGTCCTACTTCCATCCCTTCCCTTTCCTGCAACAGAAGTGTACCAAGAAAGAAGGGGTAAACTTACTGGAAAGTACGGGAAAGAAAACATCTCCTCCCTCTAAACCCACAGCATTCCAGAAAGAAACCAGCCAGGAAGAAGGATGCACTAGCTGGCCCAGGATCACATCAGAATGTAGGACACCCTAGATCTGAGGCCAGTCTGGGAGGTTACTGCTGCAAAGTCCTCTTCACAAACTCCACCTAGCCAAATCCCACTCTTTGTATGTGTGCACATGTGTGCAGATATGGACACCCGTGAATGCATATGTGGCAGCCAGAGGTCAACGCTGGGTGTCTTCCTCTGTCGCTCTCTACCTTATTTTTTGAGACATGGTCTCTCAGTGAACTAGACTCACTGACCAGGAAGCCCCCAAGATCTCCCTGGAATTATGCCACCACACCCAACTTTTTGTGTGGGTGCTGGGAATCTGAATCCAAGTCCTCATGTTTGCATAGCAAGCACCACTGAGCTGTCTCTCCAGTCCCCAAGAAACCACACTCTGTAAATCTGCCAGTTCAGCGGCTTTACAGTGCAAAGGATTGCACTCTGCTGGTAGGCACTTCTGCCACCTAGTGGTCAGTAGAGGAAATGCCCAAATCCAGAACTGCCCTGGCCTAGGGCCAGAATACTGGGATCCAGTTCTGTCTCTGAATACTGAGTCTTGAACTTTCCTTTCTCCTATCTGAATACCAAGAAGCTAGAATCAAAATCACATTAGGACTCACTCCTGCTGGAAAATCTACAATAGTTTCTTGTCTCCAAATAAATCCCTAATCCTCTTACCCAGTGGCTGATGGCCCTCCAGCCTCACACTGATTCAGCCCTGGAGCTTGCACACCCTCCCTGATTCATTTTCCCTTCCTCACTCTGACATGCTCAAGGAAGTTCCCCCAGATAGAGGAAGTCTCAGTTTCCCCTCTTCAGGTACCCCTCCAGCCTCACATGTTAAGCCCTCACTCCCAGGCCCACCTGGCTCACCTGCTGTAGAATGCGGGCTCGGGAAGCCAGGGCAGCACTGTGCTCTGAAATGCCCCTCTGGGAGGCCAGAGAGATCTCCTGCAGAGGGAAGTCCACAATGGGGTACACCTAGGGGAGCGATAAACAGAACACCCACATATGGAACCATGGAAGACCCGAGACAAAAGAGGAGGCCCAGAGAGGAAAGGGAAATGTCCAAGCTAGGAGAACTTCTGTAGACCCTCATTTTCCACCTCATGGGCCCAAAGATTCCAGGACAAAAGGAGAGACATCATCAGAGAGTATCCCTTTCCACCTGTAGCTCATGTTACCCAGAAGACCCTCACTGTGAGCTTACTGTGTGTTGGGCATCATGCTAAGTGCTGAGATACAGCCAAGGCTAAAGCAAGTGGGTGGTGTAGGTGTGGGCTTGTGGGGCCATCTCTCACACTAGCACTGGCACTGCCCACTACATGCCAGGCAGGAACAAAATGAGCAGGAACCAAACCCAAGCAGCTGGCTGCCAGCCTCTGTGAAGCTCAGGCATGAGGGCCCCATTGAGTCCCTGCTGCTGTACAAAATCCTCTCACAACACAGGAGAAAGCTCTGCCTCCCTACAGCTCCTCCTCTAGTTCATAACACTGAGAGCTCAATGCCTTTTTCCATATCCACTCAGCATCCGGTTCACCTGGGCAGGTGGCTAACCGCCTCCTGGCCCTGCTCCTCTGAGCACACCACCAGCAGGCTCAGCTCACAGAGCCATCAGACCCTGGGCAGACAGGGATAGGTGATGATTAAGTGAGTTTTGGAGCCTGAGGAAGAAATCTGGAATAGGAGCTGGGCTGCTCAGCACTCCTGAGTTCCTGTGGAAGCCAATGATCTACCTAAACCTGGAGTGCACAGTAAATTTCCCACAAAGTCCCAAATAGTGAAGCATTTCAGGTAGCCAAACTGCCCCAATCACAAAATAGCACAATCTATATTAAAGAGTAAGGCCTGTGACTAGAAGTCCCTAGAAAAAAACTTCCAGTCTTCAAACTGGACTTTTCTCCCACAAGGCTGATCAACTGATTAGAATTTCAATGAATGTGGGGAGTTTGGAATGTTGCAGGTCCAGAACCTAATTACCATTTATCTCCGGCCATCTTTAGCCCCCTAAACAGCCACTCCTTGCCTATCTCTGTTTCTGATCTAACATCCTATGACTAACAGATGACATCCTGTGACTAACATTCTTTTAGAATGTATTATCCTAGCAGACCATCAGGTCTCAGCAATCAAAAAGCTAAGACTGTCATCAGATAGCATCTGAGACCTATAGTAGAAACCCCCCACTTTGCTATGACCCGCCTACTGAATGTATCTACCAATGTATTTAAAAAGTGTCTTGATTTATTACTTTTCTTTGTTCTATTTACTATAAAAACGTAATGAACTGTTACCATGCTGGAACATGGAATTTGGGGTAACCTGAATCTGTGTTCCCGGCCATGGTCACTCATATTTGGCTCCAGAATAAACTATCTCTTATCCCCTTTGAGGTGAGAGTTATGCTTTTGTGTCGACAGGCTGTGCTCCAATAAAACTTTATTTATAAAAGCATGAAGTGAGCTGGCTTTTTAAGCCTGGCCTTAAGACCCTCCATGGCTTGGCTATCCCTCTCCAGCCTGAACTCCTCACTCACCCCTACTCTCCACATGCAGGTTTCCACCTGACAGACATCATCTACCTGCCCAGGGCTGCCTCATCTGTCCTCTAGCCCTAGACACTCAGAGCTCTCCCAGCTTGTGCATGTTGGGGGCGGTGGGGGTGGGGGGGGGTAACTGCAAAGGGAAGGAAGAGGAATGATAAGAGGGAGGGTCAGAGGAGCACTGAAACTGAGGAAGGACCCAGGTAACTTTTCTTTGCTTGGGCAGCTCTGTCCCCACACTGCCCATCTGTCCTAAGTCCCACAAACAGCCGTACGACCCCAGCTAGCCTGTAGGAAAGAGGCTTCCTGACCACCTGTGTGAGAAGGAGCCCTCTTACCATGGTGTTCTCATCTCTGAAGAGGTTTTCCCCTCTGGCTTTGGCCAGCAGCTCCCTGGGGCAGTGGAGGTGGTGCTGGGACACAAACTCAAACAGGCTGTTCTTCCTGAAAGGAAGAGGAGGGGAAGGGAAGGCACCACAGGGCTTTGAATCAGTGATCACACCTGGGCTGAGGCTGAGGCCAATGGAGGGAGTTGGAGGGAGTGTACAGTGTCTCTGAACTCAGCGTTCTGGCCTGGGAGGTGGTGGCCCCATCCTACCTCTGGCTACCAAGTATTTAGTCTGGTCAAGCACAGGACAAAGGCTTCATCACATCCCTGGCTGACTTAGGGATGCAGAGGACATACAGTGCTATCCCAGACATCAGTGCTCAGAGGTTGAGTGAGTGCCACCTTAGCAGGTGGTGATGGTGGAATGTAAACTCAGAGCTCTGGTATGCAAAATGGCTCAATGGGTACAGGTGCTTTCCACCAAGTCTAGCAAGCTGAGTTTATTCATCCCACATTGTGGAAGGAGAGAACTAACTTCTGCAGGTTGTCCTCTGACCGTCACACGGTACTTAAGTGCTCACATACACACATGTTCACACTTACACACACACACACACACACATACACACACACACACACACACACACACACACACACACACACAATAAAGTGTAATTAAGAAAATAGGGAAGAAAAAAAACAAAACTCAACCAAAACCTCTCCCTCCTGAGCCTGGAAGTTCCCACTGGGAAGAGGTTCTCTGCTCCAACTACATCCCTCTACCTCCTCCAGACCTTTCACAGAGTGTCACTCACCACATGATGACCAACTGGACGAAGTGTTCCAGTCTCCTCTCTCCCTTGCAGGTGGCACATGTCTTGTTCCCCCTCCCAGAGCATGTGCTGCACCTGAGACCACAGGAAGCAGGCTGAGTGACCCTGTGGCTCCCAAAGACCCCACCCCAACCCTTTTCTATAGAGACTCCTTCACTGCAGTGCTCCCTCCTCCAGCAGCCAGACCCTAGCATCTCTCTGGAGCTTGCCCTTCCCCCACCCAGTCTACTTGGCTCTTGGGCTTTTTGCCCCTCCCCTCTGTAGCCAGCTTGGGATCTCAGTCAAGCCAGTCACCTCATTTCATCTCCCTGGCAATGATAAGCCTGACACAAAGACAGAACCAGGTAAATGCCTATCTGGAAAGGAGCATCCTTCTCCTCTGGGCTGCTAAGCCTGGTTACCATTCCAGCCTGGTGACACTGGTTAAGCACCTGGATCCAGATAGACCTGATGCTATCCCAGAAATATACCCCTGGACTGTACTGTTGCTTGGGCCTATAAATGTATATTTTTGCCACAACCAATTTGAACTGGATTATTTTACTTGAAAATCAAATTGCATTTCTTTCCAATTCAGACACTCTTTGTTAGTCACAGTGGAAGGGATGTCAAATATTGACCATCTGGAAAGGATGCCTGAGGCTTGATGAGCCAAAATACCATTAGCCAACCCAAACATGAATATTTCACTCTGCATGCTTTTCTGTTTCCTTTAAGGGTTTATAAATAGTGAGAGGACATGAGTTATGTCTTAGTTTGCTTTTCAATGTTGTGATAAACACCATGACCAAAGGCAACTTTCACCTTACAGTCCATCATAGAGGGAAGTTTGGGCAGGGACCCGAGGCAGGAACTGGAGGCAGAGACCACACGAGAAATGCTGTTTACTGGCTGGTCCCCAAGCTCAGGTTGAGCTACCTTTGTTATACAACCCAGGCCCACCTGCCTAGAGATGGTACCACCCACAGTGGGCTGGGCCCTCCAAATCAATTAGCAATCAGAAAAAAAAATGCCCCACAGACATGGCCACAGGCTAGTCCGATGGAAGAAATTCTCAATTAAGGTCCCCTCTTCCCAGGTGTGTTAAGTTGACAACCAAAATTAGCCACCATAAATTACAACATGTAAAGGCCTACTGTAGGAAAAGCCACATGATCAGAGGTAGAATGTTGTTGACTGTTTTGTCAATCAACTTGGCTGGATGGCTCCTTCAGCCAGGCCCTCTGTTTATAAATAAGTCTTTGCCCAGAGCCTGTATTCAAGAGTTAAGAATCACCCTTCCAACTAATTTTTAGATAATCACTTCTGTCTTCTTGGAGCCCCCTCCCCATTCCCTATCTCCCAGCAGAGCCTCCAACTTCACACCTGACCCATGTGTTGTTGACATCCTTCCAAAGCGCCAGGCTTTGAAACAAGCGGACTCACACTAAGAAGTGGCAGAGCTTTTGCCGTGCACAGAACTCTGGGGACACAGCAGTGAGAGGTAGACAGGGTACCCATGTCCCTTCCAGTCAGGCAATGACCATCAAGAAGCCCAAAAGGTGAGAGCCCTCTCCTGCCCACTGGGACCCTCCTACCTGCGCCTGCCGGAGCCGGAGCACAAGTGACACCTCCGGGACTGCCTGGCCTTGCGCTTGGTGCCACTGCAGGATGAACATCTCACCTGTGGACATGCCCAGCCTCAGCTACTGGCTCCCGGAAGCAGGTCTCAGGCCACCCTGAGATTGGCTTCCAATGCAGCCTCAGGACCCTTACCTGGGTCTCTTCCTCCCCTGGAAGCCTTCATCAGAGGTTTATGGCTTCAAAGGATGTGGACTGGCAGCTTTGGGCCCTACCAGGCACATAGTTCCAGACTCCATGTCCTAAGACCCCTGCCTCTTCTGCCTCCAACCAAGTGTCTAGAGGGAGCCAGGAACAGAGTAGCTAGAGACCAGGTGGGGTAGGAGGTCCTTTTAGAAAAGGACCCAGGGGTGGTCTGGTATTAGGGTGGGCTCCTGACATTCAGGGTAAATTTAGGGAGCAAGGGGGAATAGGGAGGGGAACCAGGGTAGAAGAAAGAACAGAAAGCCTAAAGGGAGGGGCCCTGCTGGCACTGATGAAGGCAAGGAGCAGGAGGAAGAACATGAAGAGAAGAGGAAAGCCAGATACAGGCCACTGGGAACCCACAGAGAGCAGGTGGGAGGTGAGTGTTCAGCTGGGGATGGTAGCCCAGGGTCAAGGGCTGGTGGGTGGGTAGAAGGATGGACAGAGAGGCTGGTAAGGATTGCAAGTGGTCAGTATGTGTCCAATTGGTAGGCTCAAGTCAGGAGAGCCTTGATTCTGAACTTGTAGCCTCCAGAGTCGATGATATATTTTGGCCCTTTGAAGCTTCAAGGATGCAGTGCTAAGCAGCAACGGCCTGGGCAGATAACCTAAGACCTATCTATCTTGACTCCCAAGCCTTCCGCCCCCTGGGCTGTGGCTCTAGGGCACCCCCACAGGGGGATATTCCAAGAATCCATTCTTTTTTATTTTTTTTTCAGTTTTTTTAATGCATATAAGTGTTTTGTCTGCATGTATATAAGTGCATTCATCTGTGCAATCCCCACAGAGGCCAGAAGAGGACATTGGATCCCCTGGAATTGGAGTTACTGATGGTTGTTAGCTACCATGTGGGTGCTGGGAACTGAACTCCAGTCCTCTGCAAGAGCAGCCAGTGCTCTTAACCACTGAGTCATTTATCCAGGCCCAGGATCCATTCTCTTACAGGGCCTTGCCCTATGCAGGTCCTCGATGATTAATGGAGAGACTTCTAAATTGAACAAAGTGTAAGGGTCATTGGAGGCACCCAATCTGACTATCCCATTCCCCAGATAGGAAACTGGAGGCCCAGAAAGGGAAGAGGACCCTCTGAGGTGACACTGTTATACAGGGAGCCTCCATTCCCTCCCCCACCCTGCCATCTCTGTGGCCCCTCCAACACTCACCCAAGATTACTTAAATGCTCCCCCCAGGGACTCACCATGCCAGCCCCATGGCAGCCGCTGCACTTGTAGCGCCCACGCCCATTGCATTTATGACATTCCTGAAAGAGAAGAGCTCTCCTTGGATCAAGCTCCCCAAGCAGGACCCCTCCCACCACCAGGATGTCACAAAAGAGCCAGTTCCAGGACAAAATGGAAAATTGGTGTTAGGGAAAAAATTCTTCGAACAGTTAAGAGATCAAGCATTCATCCAGGAGAGTCGAAAGCTCATTTACTCTTTTCACATGCATGTCCTCCCAGAATTAGCATCCAAGGCTGAAGATTTTCTGGACCCTAACAGAAGTACAGATGGTGATTAAATGGGGATCTTTACATTATCATTTTATGACTGACATCTGGGCCCTATGTCTCTTTTCATGATGGGTCATGTTATCTCAGGAAAATTTCTTCCTGGGTTCATTTGGTCATCATAGTTCACAAAGTAAATACCCTAGTCATGGGTCAGGACATCTTCTACCTTTTGATCTATAGCTAAGCCAGGCTAATTAGGCTGAGAATCAGTCAAATGGTCATTTCAGTTTACAAAAACAGATGTTACCAGCAGAAGTTTAGATATCTGTCATGTTTGAGCTACACTTTTCTTGGACTAATTGGACCTGGTGCCTCATTAAACCATGTGGTGAACTTTCCACTTTCTTAGTTCCATATCTTTATCAGCAGTTAGACATGGTGAGTGGAGAGCATCACAGAGCTTCAAAGTACTGCAGAGCAATAAGACATCTCAGACTAGTAAAGGCATCTAGTTAAAGACCTCACAAAGCAATAAAGCAGCACAGGTGGCAGAACACCACAGAGTCACATTTCAAGATACCTACCTAGGAAGTAAAGCAAGAAGAAATGTCAAATGGCCTATGCTTAGAAGGACGTTATATAAGAATACAGCTTGGCTATACAAATATAACTTCTCCTTATCAGTGTGAGGGGAAAGCTCTTCCAGATTGCTAACGATGCCAAGCCAAGGTGCTGTGTTAGCCCTTTCCCTGAGTCCAACTCAGCCTTTCCCTGTTCAAAGAATGGGATTCTCGGATCCCTCAACTAACTCACACTCTAGCTTCCTACCAGGCTAAACTACACATGCTGATGACACTTGCCTATCTAGTAGCTTGCCTGAGCCTCAGGAGCATAGAAAATGACAGTGTTTGGTGGAAGGCAAGGAACTAGCTTCTAGAATATATCATCAAATGAAAATAGCTTTTGCATCGTCTAAAAAGAATGGATCGCTTTCTTCACCTCCTCAATTCCTCCCTATCTGATAACTGTAAAAACTCAGAATCTAATTGCATTCTTAAATCAAATCCCAATGAGCAGCCAGTCAGACAGCAGACAAGAAGAGATTAAGGGGGCCAGTCAGCCACCAGGTTTCCTACTGTGACAGACTTCTACCCAACAGATGGACATCAAACCCTGCCTTCCTATGGACTTCCAAGGAAAATCCCAGCAGAGTGTGTGTGTGCGTGCGTGTGTGTGTGTGTGTGTGTGTGTGTATGAATATGTGGAGGCCAGAGATGTTGAGTGTCTTCCTCTGTCACTCTCCACCTTATTTTTTGAGAGAGAGTCTCTCATTGAACCTGGAGTCACCAATTTGCCTAGGCTGACCCCAGGGACCCTCCTGTCTCTGCCTCCTCAGTGGTAGGGTTACAGAAGCATGCCACCACACTCAGCGTTTTATATGAATGCTGAGGATCCAAACTCAGCCTTCATACACTTGACCCACTGAGCCATCTCCATGGCCCCAACAGTGCTTCATTGTTTAGTTGGTGTCAATTTCATTGAGGCCTCCAATTACCCTACATCAGGCAAAAACTCAGGCAAGCATGCATGCACACAGACACGCAGGCATGCAGGCACGCAAGCATGCATGCACATAGCTGCCTTAAGAATGTTGTCACTTGCTGGTGACGGTTCTCTCACTATGTGAATGCCTCCTCCCCAAGATGCAAGGGATTCTGTGTGAGAAGTGTTCGCTTTACTGGCTGTCCTTAAGTTGGGTTTTATTTTTAGTTCAGGCCAGGAGTCACCAGACTGGACTTAGGGTGTCTTTTCTCAAAAGATAAAGTCTGATGAAGCTTGTAATCCCTGGAAAACAGACTTAGAGAGAAAGGCAGATAATCCAATCAGCCATTACCTTGACCAGGGAGGAGTGAGGCACTTGGAACTTTCTGGTGTCTTCCTGAAACATTGGAGGCATCTGGACCTTCATATCCCAAAGCCTGGGGGAGGTGCCTCTCTGTGGCCCATCCACAGCATGATCTGACACAGAAGGGGTCATTGTGAGCACAGCCAAAGGCAGCAAGGATAAGCTTTCATGTATTCACCAAACAGTATGGAGCTCTCCTTGGTGCCTGCCATTGGCTAGGGCTAGAGAAGGGTATGAACAGGGATCCCTTGAAGTTAAGCATCCGAGGTTTGTAGCTGGATTTCAGTCCTAGCTCTTCTACTTCCAATTGCATGACTCTGGAGATGGTACTAGGCCTCTCTGGACTTTAGTCCTCTAATCTCTAAAATGGAGATAAATGATAGGCACCTTGCTTGTAAGATGGTGGTTAAAACTAAACAGAAGAATGCATATAAAATGCCCAGCACAAGACTGGCCCATCCTGAAGGATCAATGAATGGAAACCATCATCATATCATTACCACGTCCTCTACCCTTCCAGCATCTTCTTCCTTCAGACAGCACACACTGAAAGTATGCATAAAGGTCTGGAAAACTCAGAAGGCTCATGCATCCTGATTGGGAAGAGGAAGGCAGGAGAAGAAATCCTGGAAGGCTTCATAGAAAAGGTGACACCTGGCTAGGTCTTGAAGAATGGACCAATGAAGACCACCAGGGAATACAGGATGCAGGCTTCCCAGAAAAGAACCAGAAACCTCTAGAACACTTTAGAGAAAGTGAGATATCACTGTGAATGGGAATCTAGGGGTCGACAGATTTAGGGGTACTGGGTAGATGCCCAAGTACATTTCTGTCTTTGTAGTCTGGTCCCAGATAGCCAGGGGTCAAAGGCAAATATTGAACTTTTCCAGGTCTCTTGCAAACTACTTCTTGAGCAGGAATACTTCCCAAGGCCAGTACTTGGGGAATCTCAGAAATGAAAGTCACCCCATCATTTACAGCAGGTAGGGAAACTAAGGCTCCACATAGACACATGTTTGATTCAGTTAGTGGCTGAGCCAAGTCCTGAGATGATCCGCCTTGTCCCTCCCAAGAAAACCAACTCCAGATGGCTCACTCACTGGTGAAGGGCTGGAACGTCCACTCACTAACTCTGGATTCGCTGAAGGTCTCCAGTCGATACTATAAAGAATACCAGCACATCATAAGCCATGCCCTTCTGAAGACAGAGCATTATGCAAAACTGTCAAGTTCCCACCTGCAGGGGATCCCATGCATCACCTTGGGTGTGGGGAACAGGCTAGCAATAGCCATTCCTAGAGATCTCCCATGCCAGGCTCCCACCCAGAGCCCGCCCAGTCCCTCCATGAAGTTCCAAAGAAAGCCAGTCTACACGGCAAGCTCTAAGACAGTGCTCGACAATGGTGCATGGAGGTCCTGTTTCCCCTGCTCTGAGGCTCCTCTGACTAATGGCAGGGCCATCCTCCTTGATCCTCATGCACAGATTCAGCAAGAAGAAGTCTTAGCATCATCTGGCTTCCCGTGTGTGTGTGTGTGTGTGTGTGTGTGTGTGTGTGTGTGTGTGTGTACCTGTGTATACATGCCTGTGGAGGTTAGAGAACAACTTCAGGTATTATCCTCAAGAGCTGTCCACCTTCCTTTTTGACTCAGGAACTCTCTCTAGTCAACTGGCTAGGCTGGCTGGCCAATGATCCCTAGGGATCCTCCTACCTCTGGCCTTCCCAGTGCTGGGATTACAAGTACATATCACTATGCCCGGCTTTTATTATGTAGGTTCTGAGGATGGAACTCTGGTCATTGTGTTTGCATGGCAAGCATTTTATGTAGGTATCTCTCTAGCTTTGTCTCTTGCTCTCTTTTATGGGAAGAAATGAGGGCTCAGAGAGGCCAGCAGTCTTGCCTAGATCACACAGCTGCAAGTTGACTTCTTCCCCCACATCTGGGACCTAGCCATGCATCATTGTATACTTATCAGAGAACAGCACTTCTCATTGACATGAGAAGTAGTAACTTGGGCCCTGGGCATGCAGAAGGAGACCAAAGCACCTTCCATGGTCTGGGCATCACAGGTATGGTTTGGGAGAAGCAGAGGCTAGTGAAGGTCAGAGGGGTAGAGGGACCTTCCTCAGCCTGGGCTTCACGGAAGGGGGCAGGGAGGTCTGGGCTTCTGAGCAAATCTGATTTTGAACCCATTACTTCTAATTACAAGTATTTGGTCAAGTATCTTAGCCTCTCCTGACTTCCAGTGCTGCCCCATACATTAGGGACAATACTGCACTATGGAAGGCAATGAGGAGGATTTGGCATGATATCACCTGCTTCCCACAATGCCTAGCAGATGTGAGGTTGTCAATCATGATGGACAGTCTCCCTGCTCTGATTAATACAGGGAGCAGGAAGGTTGCCAGAGGGACCATTTACATGTGCCACTTCCAGGAACAGCATCCCCTCTGTCCCAATGTCCCCAGGCCCCCTGGGTATGGCCGCCTCACCCTGCAGAGGGTCTGTTGCCTCAGCTCCTGGATGATGAGGTCGCCTGCGGCTGCGCTACTGTAGCAGCACTGGGAGTTCACGAAGCTGAGCAGGGCCTCCCGTGCCACCTCCTCGGTCACCAGGGGGACCCTGCTTGGGAGCAGGCAGAGAGAGGCAGGGGTTTGGGAGAGTTCTGTGGGTCACCCCAACCAGTTCCTCAGTGTGTAGGGGGACACTGAGGCCCAAACTCTTCTGATACTGAGCCAAGGATAGAAACCACAGTCCACATCCGGCATTCCAGCCTGTTTCTGTAAGTCCAGTATTACTGGAACCTGGCTACATCATTCTCCTGTGTAGTATTCCCTTGAAAAACCCGCTGGGGACACCTCCTCCCACCCCAGACCCACTGAACCAGATTCCCCAGGGGCATAGCCTTGGAATCTGCAGGGTGCCAAACTTTTCTGGGCTCCTGAGGCTCTGTCAGGGTTGAACACCCACAAAGAGGACTCCCATAGGGTGATAGTGGAATGTGGAAATGCACTGAGACATACCTGTGATCCAGGACTGAGGACCAGGACACTGGTTCCCGGGGCCTCGTCAGGGTCTCCAAGGGTGGAAAGAAGACCTGCCCTCCTGGAGGAGAGGGGAGGAAGGATATCAGCTCAGCTCAAAGGAACTAGGAGCTTGTGTGGTAAAAGAAGGAAAGGCTAACCAATGTAAGAAGAACCCCAGGACCTGGTGGCATATGCTCACGATCCCTCCTACTTGAGAAACAAAGGTAGGAGGATCCTAAGTTCAAGGCCTGCGTGAGTCACAAAGTGAGTACAAGGCTAGCCAAGGCAACTTAGTAAGATCCTGTCCCAAAATGAAAAATAAGGAGCTGGAGAGATGGCTCAGTAGTTAAGAGCACTGGCTGCTCTTCCAGAGGATCAGGATTCAGTTCTCAGCACCCACATAGTGACTAACAACTGTCTGTAACTCCAGTGCCAGGGGATCCAATGCCCTCTTCTGACTTCAGTGGGCATTGCACAACATGGATACACTTACTTACATGCAGTCTTTTGAATTTATTTCTATAAATAGAAATAAATCAAAAAATATTTTTTTTAAAGAGGCCGGGTATGGTGGCACATGCCTTTAGTTCTAGCACTCGGGAGGCAGAGGCAGGTGGATCTCTATCCTGGTCTACATAGTGAGTACAGGCCAGCTTGGGCTACTGGGAGACTATCAAAAAAAAAAAAACCCAAAAATTAGAAAAGAGAAAGAAAAGCAGGGCATGACCACCCATACCTCTTATAATTCCCAGCACTCAAGAGGCTGAGGCAGGAGGATTGTCAAGCATTCAAGCCTAGCCTGGGATACCTAGTAAGCTCAAGGCCATCCTCGTCTTCCAAAATAATAAAGTAAATACGGGGCTGGGATTGTATCTTGGAGGGAGACCACTTCCCTTGCCAAGCACCTACCAGGCCCTGTGTTTATTCTCCAATACCTCAAAAGACAAAAAGAGAGAAAACAGATAAGATAAAGGGATTTATTTAATGCATCTCCAGCAAACAGAATGGGGACTTTAAGAACAGTATAAACTGGGTCATGGAATATTCATGGCCACAGGACGCGGTCCTCTGTGCATCCTATCCCACCTCCACTCAGCCATGACAAAGGCCTCCTTGGGACCCAGGGAAAAGGGGAACTATCTCAACACTGACTTCCCTGACCAGCACAAGTCCCAGGAAGAAGCTGCAGGAACCAAGACCCACTGGACTCACCGTGCCCTTGAAGCCAGTCGTAGCTGGGCAGTCCCTCCAGGAGCTCAGCAGGGGATGCCACCGGACTCTCTGCCTCAAAGCTGAGGTCAGCCACACCTGTGCAAAGATAGTGAGAAGTAGTATTAAGCTTTTTTTTGGAGGAGGAGGATACAGGGAGTCAGCAGTGACTTTATGAGAGGCTGAAAATGATGGCAGGTACACATAAAATGCCTTTCTTCGTGGGGGCACCTCTTTCATATTCTTAGCCAGCCTAAGGATGTGGCTTAATGGTAGAGAGCTTGCCTAGTACACGCAAGGCCCTGGATTTGCTCCCCAGTACTGCAGAACAAAACACCAAATAAAACCTCTGTATCTTTGCTTCCACAAAATAAATATGTCCTGTTCCTTCAAGTTTAATAGAAGGAGCATCCAGAATGCTAAGCAGGCTTTGTTCTAAAGGAGAGCCACCAGCATGATCTAGAAGGCAGGAGTGAGGAGGCTGAAGAGCTGAAACTTGTAGCCCAGAACAGTGGGAGGATAAAGGGGGTTCTGTGAAGACAAATAGTCCCCTTTGCTACCCCCAAGTTAGGAATGTCCTTTCCTAACAATGAGCAAAGCCACTTGTGTCACTAAGGCTTTTTCTCCTGGTAGCAAACCCACTGAGGAAGGTGAGTGGAGGTTTGTAGATAGAAGGAGGGTCGGAGGATCTTTCAGGAAGAGAGGTGTCTGTGATACAAAGTGACAGGGTCCCAAAGCTTCACAGGGATGCATGTGCTGATGTCCCTACTCTCATAATTCATCTGGATTATTAATACCTCAGTTCTCAAATGGTTTTGCTTTGAATGAGTTCATTAGCATTTAAAGCTGTTTAGCTACCAGGAACCAGGGGTCAGCCATCATCTTCTTTAAAGAACCAGGTGAGATATATATTTTGCACTCTGTGAGGCTAACAGTCCCTGTCTCACTCCATGTCATTGAATGGCGTGACAGTGGCCACCCGCAGCTGAGTGAGTGTAGCTTTATTCCAATCCAGTCTGATACAGGGAAAGAGGTGGAGTCAGACTTGGGCCCTGAACTATATCTTGCCACCTGTCTTGGACCCTCGCATGTAGGTTATAGAAATGCTCACCTGTAAGGAAGGGCTAGGGGCTGTTGGAGAGGTGAAGGCTGGAATGGGGGTTTTGGGGAGCCAGGACTCTTGTGTGTGGGTTCACTGCAGTTCCTAGGAGCCCAGTTATCAGAAGCAAAGAGCGAGGTCAGGGCCAAGTACAGCCAAGGGATCACAGGCAGAATCCCAGAGGTATAGGAGTCAGGGGTCAGAAACATGGGCTAGTGTGTAGCTGTGGCTTGGGGCTCTCTGCCATGCCCTGCCATGCCATCACACCAGTCACACAGCCCCGCCCAATCCAACTCCCCCATGAGTGAAATAGAATACATCACCATGGTGCCCATATCCTAGGACAGTGTACAATAGACTCCAGCCCCAAGCCTGGCATACAAAAAACACTCTGGCCCTAGGCTGAACTTGACTTGTGTTCCTTTAAACCAGGAAATAGTGAAAACGTCAAACATGGAAAGAAAGGCTACGCCTGTCTCCTGGGATAGCCTTGCCCACTCAATAGCCTTGGGTCAGCTGGGGCATCAAACCCCACCCCTTGATGGGAAGACAGAGAAAGGTCATGTGGTTGCCATGGCCTGTTAAGAGTCCAAACAAAAGACAGGAAAATGGGAATAATAGCAACTTGAGCCCCATCCATCACCCTGGAACTGCCCTGACCTCTGGGGCAGGCATAGTATCTCAGTGCTAAGTCATCTCACCATTCCTCTCCAGGCTAAAATAAAGGACTCCAGGCTGAACCCAGGAGGGTATGTCATTTCCTGTACAGAATTGGAGGCGCACAACAAGACCGTGGAGGTCACCCAGCATTGTGCCATACTTGCAGTGGGGCTCCAGCTGTGTCACTGTACCCATGGTGCTAGGGTGAGTTTCAGGGCTGGGTACCCCACCCTGTCACACATGGTGCTGTCTGAGGACCACACGGGGGTGTGTTGGCGTGGCCTCACTGCACTTCACAATTGCTGTTTCCCCCATTTAGAGAAGGAAAAAAATGAGTCCTCAAGATATGGACTGGGGACACCAGCCCACACAGGCATAGCAGAGAGAAACAGCACTCCTATGTCATGCCCTGTCCCCAAGCCCCCAGGCCTTTGCACGTGTCTCCAAGTCCCCAAGCCACTGGCATAGAGTGACTGCTGAAATACCCCTGCAAAGACAGTCAGGAAGCTGGGGTCTCTGCTCCCCAGCCACAGGCTGGCTTTCTTTAACATGAAAAAAAATTTTCTTGTGGAGAAAAACTTGGTTATAGAGAAGCTCTTCGATCTTTATCTTTCCCAGATGCTGTTCTCTCTAGCTCTAGGGCCTTCCCTGAGACCTCAAGATTCTAGTTGATCCCCTCCGGAGAACCAAGATCTCCAGGACCATCTTGTTCCACATCTTGTCTCCTTCAATGGTGTAAGAGCCCCTCTTGTGCACTGGGAAAAGGAGTAGGTATATAGTAGGTACATGTGAGTGCTAGGTGCACAGAGCACCCCACACAGCATACAGTGGTTGCACATAAATGCATGTGGCTACATTTGCATTTAAGCATGTACAAAAAATGTTACAACCTCTCCACCACCAGAGCTGCCTCACACCCCTGCCTCTGGCCCCCAGTTCTCTGTTCCAGTCTCTGCAGCCTTGGAACAATGAAGCTTGGGGAGGATGAGTGAGTTAGGCCAAGTCATCCAGCAATCAGGAGGCAGAGCTTGGATCTGAATTCAGATATGACCTGACAACATGGTCTCCCTCTAAAGGAAACTCCATCCATAAACTCTAAGTTGGCTGACGCTTAGAGGAAAAGATGGTGGTGAAACGTGAAAGGTTTAATGGAACAAGATGGTAGATACCCGACTTCCAGTATATCAGAGTTCACCTTAGACCTGCTCTGGTATGTAGTCGCATTTCAATAAAGAAAAGGGACCCAGTTTACACTGAGCTCTCTCAAAGATTATCACCAGCTGATTATATTTCAGTTCTAAGAGTTCAAACTTTAAGATACCAACATAAGTGACAGTAAAGAGCATCGAATACACACAGGACCTTCAATACCATCAAGTCTGGTGGTCACAGAGAACTATTCAGATCATAGGCCTCCCTAGGATTCAGACTGAAGCAGCAAGTCCCTCTTCAAGCTCTCAGAAAAGCCATTCAATGAGGTTGTTGCCCATATCTCATGGACCTCACAATCAGACTTGACTCTTTCATACATGGAGAAGTGGAGGCTCGGAGACATTAAGTGACTTATCCAAGATCACACAATCCATTTGCAGAGCCAGGACTAAAATACTGGCCTCCAACTCCCTATCTGCTCCCCACAAACTCCACCACATTGCTTGTTCAAACTCAGTGTAAGCTTCCTTTATTTAAACATAGCACATTTCCTCCAAAACCCCCTTTTCCTTCCTTGGGTTTTTAAACAACCTTTTGACTCCACTGTGTTTCTGTCCTGATGATGACAGTCTGGGGTTACCCTGCTTATGTCACCAGCAGTAATGAACAAGTAAGCAAGAGTTTTAAGGACTTCACAGTAATTCTCTATGATTAGCCTCACCTAAGCAGATCAAAGTAAGAATCCTGAGATTTGAACCTCTATTTGGATGGGGGGGGGTCACTGTCGCCTGGAGAAAGGAGGGAGAAAAGGGCACAAGGCTTGAAGAGAGCACAGCAGTTGGAGAGATGTCCTTGAGATAGCTGCAGCAGGACAGGATGCACTCAGGAGAGAAGATGCGGGGCAGGGGTGGGGGGCAGGTCCCACTCAGTGCAGGTTGGTGTAGACCCTCACCATCCAGTCTCTACTCACTGTCATCATCACTAGGGTCTCTGTCCATGGTCCAGATATCCAGCTAAGCCGGTGCCTGTGTTCCTGAGAGCTGAGGACTGAGATGTTGGAACTGAAGGACCACCCTCAACCCCTCCCAGATCTCTGCTGCCCATTGTTACCAATCTGCACACAACAGAGGCAAAGCTACATGTCCCTCAAAGCAGAGCCCCACCCTGTTACCCAGTGCTTGAGGTTCTCATAAGAGTTTTTCACTTGGCCAAGCTTACATGGAAGCTTCTAGAGACTTGGGTCTCTGCTTTGGAGGGGACGCTCGCTTTCTGCCTTTGATCCCAGCTGGAATTCAAACCCTCTTCTGTCTGATTCAAGTTTAAGTGCCTGCCCATCATACACTAGTGAGGGGCAGGTTTCTAAGTCCCACAGGAAAATGAGGAACCAGTTAGCAGCCACAGGAGATTGCCTCCCAAGGGAGAGACCACATGGGTGCTCAGACTGGCTGGGACCCCTAAAGCCTAGGTACCAGCCTCCTGGCTCCTTGAAGACTGGGATTAGGAGGTCACACAGCACATCACAGCCAAAACCAGCTCCCTGTGTGTCCCATTCCTAACATCAGCCCATCTGGCCCCTGTGAAGCCCCCATGAGGTTGTTTGAGGCAGTGCACTGGGGCTGAAAGTCAGACCTCAAGCACTCAGGGGTAAGTTTTCCCACTGAGCTGTGCCCCCAGACTTCCTCTGAATTGCGCATATGTATGTGTGTAAGTTTGTAAGTGGCTGCACATGTGTGCGCATGTGTATGTATGTGTGCATGTACATGTGTGTGCACATGTGTGTGGAGACCACATGGCAAGCTCTAGGTCAGTCTGCAGGACCCTTCCCCTCTTGTTTAAGACAAGGTCTCTCTTTGGTCTGGAACATCACTGCATAGGCAAGGCTGGCTACCAGCGAGCTCTGGGGATCCTGTCTGCCTCCCATCTGACCACTGCTAGGGTTGCAAGCATGAGTAACCACATCCAGCATGCATACAGGTGCTAGGGATCCGACTCAGGTCCTCGTGCTTACACAGCAAGCACTTTTCCAGCTAAGCTATCTCTCCAGCATCCTCTGCGGGCTTAGGAAATGTCATTACAAGCGTTTTACAGTGGGGCAGACATTCCATCTCCTACCCTTGGAAGACCATCCAACTCCTCTGGAGGAGTCTAAAAACTGCCCAGAGTCAGTCTCCCAATGTTAGAAACATGGGGCTTGAGAGCTGCTCCCATTCCTCGCTGTGGCCTCTACAGGGCTTCCCATGGGATTAGGAGTGACCCTGATCAAGGTCACCATGCTCCGGCCAGACCTGACTCACCCAACCCAGCAGTACCCACAGAGTTATATCGTGACACTCCTTAACCAAGACAGGGTCACCCCAGAAAGCCTTCCCCGGGTGGCCACAGGGCATACACAGTCAGATCCCGTGCAGTATAAACTGCCTCCACTCTCTCTGCTACCTTTCCCTCCTGGCTCACTACCACCTCCAAGAGAATGCTGGGAAGCAGCAGCATCATACGTGCTTAGCTTAAAATCAGGCAGCTCACTCCTCACACATGGGTTTTGATTGTAGGTAAGAGCACTGAAGTTCCTCATCATAAAGTTGTATGTGTTTTCTCAGTTTTTCTCTGCAGATACAGGAGTAAGTGCTGCATCCTAGGGAAAGGATGTGGTCTTTTGATACTTTCATATACTAAGCAATGATTCCAAACCTGGAGAATGGCACCCATGGAACCAGGATGGCTTTGAGGGTGTATTCTAGACATAGCATGCATGTGCTCGTGTCTGTGAGCATGTTTGAGCCTAAATGTGATAGGTGACAGATAACAGAGTGATAGACAGGTAGACAGATGACAAATAGGTAGTGATAGACAAACCATTGACAGTAGTTGTAGCTTAGCCACAACACCGACCATTGCAACCTTTTTTTTTTTTTTTTTTTAATACAGCGAGTCATTCTTGCCTAAAACCCCCCTTGGCATTTGAAAGAAACAGCAACATGGCATCATTTCAATGACAAGCAGGACAGAACTGAATATTAAATAGAGCTGGGTATTAAAAGAAACAGAAATTTCAAGGCAGCAAAACCACTGGTAATAGCCATTTCTCAGGAATCAGGAAGTGCCCATCAGCAGGACTGACAGTCCTTATCTGTACCAGAGCTAGGTTAGGAATTCACAATCGTTCTGAAAATGCCAGGAAGGCTGGGAGTGTGGCTCACTAGTAAAGCTCTTGCCTAACATGCACAGGACCCTGGGTTTCATCCCAGCATAGAAAAAATAATAATAAATGAAAGCATGGGAGGTAAACATGAGCTGCCTTCTAATCTTGCTTAGGCATTAGTAAGCAGTGCATTGATGTGCCACGTTGCTTTCATGGTATAAGCAGGAGCAAGCCCTGCTGAGTCTAGAACTCAGACCAGCATGAGGCTAAAGCAGCTCCCATCTCCTGCTAGTATCCTAGGATGTGCAGGGTGGGGAGGAGTGGTCCCAACATGGCACCAAGCAACTTGCATTCATTCTTCTTCACTGAGGTTGATGGCAGGGCGGTTCTTAGAGTTCCTCCACCTGACCCAGGCCTTGTCACTCTTTTGGTCTACACCTACTGAGCACAGATCTCCCTGAGTTCTTCCTATCAGCTCCCACTAAACACTTGTGAAACATTTTCCCCTTGACACAGCTGTTAAGAGCTGCCTCCACCCGTGGACTGACATCTGAGCACCTTGTTTGTTCTTGGAAATCAAGTTTGTATGGTGTCCTTGACTTAGACTCTCATTTTGGTGTTACGTCATGGTGGCAGGAGTGTTGGGATGAGGCTAAGTTTCAAAGACAGCCTAGAAACCACCTCATGTGGCTGCTCTTGAATACAGTGAGGAAGGAAATGCACAGAAATTGATGATATCTTCAAGTGTTTAAAAGGGTGTCCTGGGGTGGAGGCAGTAAAGTCAGTCAGGAATGTGCAGGTGAGAGCTGGTCTGAAGAGGACATTTCCAACTTACCAGAGAAGATCTGTCTCCTTCCCCTCAACACTCATGATATCACAGCAGCTTTGTGGTGCTTGAACCAATGGGGCAGTGGCAGAACACAGAGGGTCCTGGCTTTAGAGCCCAGCCATGGACACCAGTTTGGGAACTGTGCCTGAAGGATGGGGCCCAATGTGTGCATCTTCAACAGCATTTTCTGCCTGAGCTTGCCTGACCAGTTGCCTCCACCATGGTCAGCATTGCCCACCTCCTCCCTGGCTCAGTAGCTGTGACTGACTTCTCTCTATTCAAATGACAGCCACCAAGTCTGCCCCAGGACTTCTTAGTTTACTTACACCAGTCCTGGGCACCGTGCTTCTCTGTCTGGGAACAAGTGTTGCTTAAGGAGCTTTCAAAGGACAGATCAGGCTCCTTCTGGGAAATCCTGATGAAACCTGTGCGAGGTGGAGTACTGAGTGAAAAAGGTGGTTTTACAAGCACTCAGGTGATTTCAACTTGGGCCATTTACATCGTAAAGACACTGGCATGGACAGCTCAGTATAACACACTGACATTTTACTTCTTAAAAGACTCAGTTCAAATTACAATCAATGGTGGCATGTACCTGTAACTCTACCACTGTGGAGACTGAGGCAGGAGGATCACTGCAAGTTCAAGACAGTCATGGTCTACATAGCCAGTTCTCTACTAGCTAGGGCTAGATAGGAGAGGCTTTATCTCAACACAAACAAAACACACACACACACACACCACCAAATCAGTGGAATCAATAGCTGTTTCCTGAGTCTAACCAGCCAACTCTATTTTGGACTTTCTTGGCTCAGATGAAAATGTAGAGTAACATTGTGTTAGGAACTTTAAAGACATCTCCTATCAGCCCAAGGGCACACCCTCACTTTCCTCCTCCTGGACACAAATCTAACAAGCTAATAATTATAACAGCAGGGCAGAGAATGGAACCATTTTGCAATCATAAAACATCCCCCTGTGCTGTGTCAGCTGACAGCAGCTGCAATTTGAACAATGTCAGGGCCTTCAAACAAAGAATCCTCATTTTCTGCCTCACCTCTCCTTCTGACTCCAATGTGGCCCCAATGACTAACTGATCGTTCACCCCAAATTTCCATTATTTAGGATTCAGCTATTGGCATAACCTGTGGATGAGGAGAAAGGGCTAAACTCTAGTAGACAATAAACTGTTTACATAAAGATGGTGACTGTGGTTATATAAGCATTTTTTAATGTTATTGAAATGAAACACATGTAGCATTTCCCATTTTACCATTTGTAGGGGTATAGTCCAGTAACAAAGTGAGTCTCTGGGGGCTGGGGAGATGGCTCAGTGAGTAAAGTGCCTACAATGCAAACATGAGGATCTGACTCAGATCCCTAGACCCATGTAAAAGTTAGGCATGGCACGGCACACCTGTAATGCAAACAACGAGGACTCAGAGACAGATGGGTCCCTCGAGCTCACTGACCAGACATTTTAGCTAATTGGTGAGCATGTGTGTATACACACACAAACTCTCTCTCTCTCTCTCTCTCTCTCTCTCTCTCTCTCTCTCTCTCTCCCATGAACAGTAACATCCCCCTCCCCCTCCCATTCACTGAGCGACCCAGGCCCCTTTCTGTCTCTCCCTCTTTAACCACCCTAGGGCCCTCACATACATGGACTCATCTAGTAATTGCGCTTCTGTGATTTAGTTCACTCTACATGTCTCTCACAGTTCATCCATGTTGTAGTACACATTAGAATTTACTTGTTTTCAAGGCTAATATTCCACTGAAGGTGCAGACCACATGGTCTGTCTCTTTGACCACAGATGGACACTTACATTGCTTCCTCTTTGGACTACTGTGAGACTGCTGTGAACAGGACTACTGTCTGAGGCCTGCTTTCCATGCCATTGGGTGAATACCCAGAAGTGGAGCTGCTGGACCACATGCTACTATTATGCTAATTTGCATGCATGCTGCCTTCTTCAGTGGCTGCAGCACTGTATGAGCCCACCAATGGTGTATGGGGGTTCAGGGCACCTGTGTTGCTTTGCCACTCCCTGTGAGCACCACATCCAAACCCACACACCGTTCCCATGGCTCTCCTCACCTGTGTCTTTCTCCAAAGGCATGCATTGAGCAACCACTGGGTACCAGGCCTTTCAGCACCCATCTAAACCCAAATCCACCCTGCAGCCAACAATGCCCAGAAAATAACTTCTGCTCGGGCCTGGCACCCATGATAACATTGTTATTGGCTTATCTGTAGACTAGTACAGAGACCACAGTGCCCAGGGCAGGAACCAAGACTGGCATAGAAGGGAATGCTCCTGACACAAATAAGAAATGGGTCCAAGTGGGGTGTTCCTGAGGCACTGCACCCAAGTACCCTCCAGTCTCTGGAGCCAGGGCAATGGGCAGATCTGCAGGCCCAGGTCACAAGCTCCTAACCACACAGACAGAAGAGAGACTAAGATCGACTAAGATCTTCCCATGTCCCTACATGTTAGGTATGTAGGGAAATACCCCCACTGGTGTTTTCTAACCTAAACCTTCACAACAACCCTGTGTGGAAGATACTACTCTCTTTAGAGATGAGGAACCGGGGACTCAAACAGGGTGAGTGATTTGTTCAAAGTCACACAGGTCAAGTAAGACAGAGCTAAAATTTGAGCAATATCTGTTTGCATCATGGTTTTGGTGTAGACTAAAGCATTTTATGTGCTCCCTGTGCTGAATTTTTGTGAAGTGGCTGCAGGTTAAGGGAGCAGTGTGGTTTTTACTGTCACAGCTAAACAAAGGCTTGACCTTGATAAATCTGACTTCCCAACTAACTGAAAAGTGGATGGAGGAAGGCCATGAAACCCTGATGCCTGGCACCCTTGGGACAGGGACCCTGTGTCCTAGTTTGTCTCTCCATTGCTGTAACAAAATACTCTGACCAATACCAACTTGAGGAGGAAAGGGTTTATTTGTCTTACATCTCCCAGGTCGTAGTTCATCAGGGAGCCTAAGGTAGGAACTCAAGACAGGAACCTGGAGGCAGGAGCTGGAGTACAGGCCATGGAGGGATGCTGCTTACTGGCTTGCTCCCCTGGCCCCTGCTCAGCCTGCTCTCTTATCCAACACAGGCCCACCTGCCCAGGGGTGGCACCACCCACAGCGGGCTGGGCCCTCCCACATCACACAACAATCAAAAAGATGCCCCACAGAATGGCCACAGGCCAGTTCAATGGAAGCAATTCCCCAATTGAGGCTCCCTCGACCCAGGTGTGTAAAGTTGACACTAAAGGTATCCAGCACACCCTACGTCTGCCCCTTTCCTAGCATGTGACAGTAGTCTGCAGGACATCCTCTCAATAGCAGCCAAGCCACATTTTCACAGCCCCACCCCCACATGTCTCTCTGGAAGCTTCAGAGGAGCACTGGCCAGCTCAGTGCTTAAGCTCAGTGCATAGATGTAGCTGTGGTTGGCAGCTCTCAGCCTCCTCCCTCCCCTGCTTCCCCACTGCCCTGACATAAGTGAAGGCCAACTGAAAGTCTCTAGAACAGCCTAACAAATTTCCTAGAACTCAGCAAAGCAGAGCTCAGTAGATCCAAAACCCAGGGCAGCTCTGGGATCCGCCAGGCTGGCTTTTTAGGCCCTCCTAACAGATCCTGTCTGCCACCATCACTACCCCCGGTGGGGGCGTTCCAGTGGGCCCTGAGCTGTGCTCAGATTGACCCTGTCGAGAACGAACCAGTCATTCCCTGGATCCAGCAGTGCTGACCACTCAAACCCTGAATCAAGTCACCCCAAGTCATGGCTGCACCTACTGACAGTTCTTTTCCAGGATCCTCTGTCTCAATCAGGGATCCTGCAGGGCCAAGGTGCTTTCTGGCTCCCTGTGGAATCACTGTGGCCTGCATGTCTGCATCATAAAGAGGCTGCTCCAACCACAGATCCTGCTGCTGCCGGGACCTGACCAAGAAAGAATACATCACCTGACTCCCACCTCGACGTCATCCTCAGACACCAACAGGGTCCTTCACTGCCTAACAGTCCAGATGCCTGTGTTCAGGAAGACTGCAAGAGGTGAGCTTCTCCAGGATGGAAATGGAGAGGTAGGTGGTGCCCTCCAGCCCCTGATTTCTAACTGTCTCCCTCAGCATTTTCCCCACAAACCCTCATTCAGCACCTCTGGCCAGCTGGCCAAGCACAGGTAATTCCAAATATCACTTTGTGGATGCCTCCCCTCTGAAGTCAGATTCCAGCTCCCAGAAGAGAGCTCAACTTTGTGTGCAACAGCCATCCCAGACTCCTCAGGCCTGGCACTGCCCCCATGAGCTTATCCTGCTCCTGCTCCTACTATTTCTTGCCCCATCCTGAGTCTGACTTGGGTCCCCTGTCCCCTAGATAACTGAGGATCTCCTCATTGGTCTCCCAGAGGCCATCAGGCTCAGTACAGGGTTCAGACTGAGCACTGACCACATTCTGTCCCACCCCCACCCTGACTACCACCTCACTGGGATAGAAAGCCAAGGCTGTTGTGGTCTTCAAGGAGAACCTGCACCCTCATCTACATGCCTCCACCCTCATTCCTCCCTCACTCTTGACTTCTGCCTTGGCAGCCTCCATCCTGTTCCTGAGCCACACCAAGCACGTTCCCTCCTTAGGGCCTTTGCACAAGCTATACCATCTGTCTGGAACTTGCTCCCTCACCTCAAGCAGGCCTTTATTCAAATCTCACCTTCCCAGTAAGGTGGTCCCTGTCCTCCATTGAAATTACTTTTAACTTAATATTTTCTTTTTACTTCTCACAAAACATTTGCACATATTTATGGCGTGCACATGGCACACATATGTGCATATGGTGTGAGCTGCTTGTGGTACACACATTTCAGTGCATGCACACAGTAGGCCCTTCTCCATCAGGGTGGTCGGGCGTTTCCCACTCATCATATCTTTCGTTTTGAAGTCTCTAAGCTACTCTCTTCTAAATCTTCAGAAAATATACAACAGGTTATTGTGCAATACAGACACCAGAAGTTATTCTTTCCATCTAATGCCATTTCAGTACATTACTTGCTGTCCTGCCTCCCTCTGTCCCTCTTCCTGCTTTCCCTTCCTGGCCTCTAGGAATCACTATTCCATTCTCCTCAACTTCAAAAATCAATGTTTTGGGGCTGGGCATGTAGCTCAGTTGGTAGCAAGCTAGTCTAACAAGCACAAAACCAGGTTTTTGGTATACACCCCCTATTCCCTGCACTTAGGAGATGGGGGCGAGAAAATCACAAGTTCAAGGTACTCCTCAGCTACATCTGGAGTTCCAGGGCAGTCTCAACTACATGATGCTCTATTTCACAAAAGAAAATCAATGTATTTAATCTGTTTCTGGCTTGTTTCACATCACAGAATGCCACTGAGCTCCGTGTCCTGCTGCTTAAAATTGAACTGCTGTGACTCCGGTTTCTTCCCTTGTTTCCTCATCTCATTTTTCTTTACAGAACTTGTTACTATGTGACCCATTATATATCACGTAGTAACGTGTGTGCTTTGTTTAATGCCTTCTATCCTGTGACTGATATGTAGGCTACAAAAACAAATCAAAACAAAAAAACCAGGTGTGTGTGTGTGTGTGTGTGTGTGTGTGTGTGGTGTGCGCGCGCGCGCATGTGCGTGTGTATATGAGAGAGAAAGAGAGAGAGAGAGAGATCATTTAGCTTCCTACTGCATGCTTAGCACTCTGAGCAGAATTCTGCAAACAGCAGCCACTATATAAATCTGTGACAAATGAACAAAGAATAACATGCTCTAGATCATTATGCAGGGACTGTATCTTCCTGGCACCCTGGACTTCTGAGCCATTTTCTCCAAAGACAAGCTTTGTGGTTCCAATGGAAGGAAGAAGAAAGAACAGCAGTCACTGTAAGCATCCATCAGCTTGCTGTCTCTAGGCATTATCTCTTTCAACACCAGATAGAACCTCAGTGTACCTGTGTGCAGGGCAGTGGGGAACTCGGTGAACTTGAGGTGCTCCTGTCTCACTCAAGATGCTCCCCTGAAAGCTAGGAATGGCCCAAGCTCTGCACTGTGGGGTCCACTCACCCTATGGCTCCATTTCTTGCATCTCTTGCCGGTAGGTACATGTGGATATCTAGCCTGAGCACTGCAGATTAAACCCACTGGAGTCAGTTTCTATGGCTCTGGCTACTGTCTTTCCTGGTCTAGAAAATGGAGGCAGGGTCTCATGTGGGGGATCCTAGCTGGCAAAGAGGACAGAATGGCTTGTTACCAGCAAGCCAGAGAGGCTAATCTCATAGGGCAGAAAGGCTGCCTACCAGCCATTCCACCCACATTGTCCTGTCCCTCCATTCCTCCTTCTCTTCCTGCTAATCAGATCCATTTATCTCCAGAACCAAATCAGAATTTTAAAAGGCCAGCCTACTTGGTCATTGAAATTTCTAAACATAAATTCAGTTTACTTTGCAAGGCACCAATACCCTGTCCAGACATCACCAGCTCCCAATCCAACCCTGCGCCTGCACAGGGGTCTTCTAACATAAAAGCCTTGGGGGTCTGCCTGGGGAATCATAGCTATGGACTAGGATGGTTGGAATGTAAAATGTCCCCCACAGGCTCATGGGTTGAATGCTGCCCCCACCATCAGTGGTGCTATTTTATAAAATGGTGGGAACTTCAGGAGGTGGAACTCAGCTGGATGGGGGACTGTATCCTGCCCTGGCCCCTTCCTGTATTCCCTTTAACTGCTTCCTACCTGCCGTGAATGGAACAGGCTCCCCCTCTGTGTGCTCCTATGTCCAAGATGTTCCGCCTCACCACAGGGCCCAGAATCAACAGAGCCCAACACTATGGACTTTAATCTCTGGAACCCCGCGCTGAAATAAATCTCCTCTCCCTCAAATTATTCTCTTGGGTATTTTGGTCACATCTGTGCAGAAGTAACTCACTGGGGACACACTGTTGGAACTTCAGAAATCCTTTCATTGTACACATCAGAGAAGGGAAAGGACTTGCCCAGGTTACCCAGAAACAAGCAGCCGGCCATGGTGCGGGCTTTCTTCCGTGGATTTCAAATTGATATTACAAATGTAAATGACTTGAGGCTACACAGGGCAACAGTAGAGAACAAGGAATCGGGTATTTTTACCCATCACCATTACAAGCTTTTCATCCTGGCAGAGACCTTGGTGAGTATGGGAGCCATAAGTTAATATAGGTCACAGCCCCATGAAGGTTCCTCCCACCCCACCCTAGGAGGCTGGAAGAGACAGAAAGGAATCCTCCCATCTTGTCAGTGGGAGAGACAGAGCTCACCAAGGACCAGAGAGAGGCCTTTAACAACCCCTAGAGGATCTCAGCACCCTCCATCTCTGTGGGGATG